GCAATATACAGCAAACCAACTGCCAACATCAAACTGAATGGAGAGAAACTTAAGCCAATTCCTCTAAAATCAGGAACAAGACAAGGCTGTCCTCTCTCTTCATATCTCTTCAATATCGTACTAGAAGTTCTAGCTAATGCTATAAGACAACAAAAGGAGATCAAGGGGATCCAAATTGGAAAGGAAGAAGTCAAACTGTCTCTATTTGCAGATGATATGATAGTTTACATAAGCGACCCAATAAACTCTACCAGGGAACTCCTTCAGCTGATAAACACCTTCAGCAAAGTAGCAGGATATAAGATAAACTCAAAAAAAATCAGTAGCCCTACTTTTTTCAGACGACAAAGAGGCAGAGATAGAGAAACATCACCCTTTACAATAGCCACAAGCAACATTAAGTATCTTGGTGTAACGCTTACCAAACAAGTAAAAGACCTATATAAGTTCTTACTTTGTGACTCTAAAGAAAGAAATTAAAGAAGATACCAGAAAATGGAAAGATCTCCCATGCTCTTGGTTAGGTAGGATTAACATAGTAAAAATGGCAATCTTACCAAAAGCAATCTACAGATTCAATGTAATCCCCATTAAAATCCCACCACAATTCTTCGCCGACCTTGAAAGGATAATAATCAACTTTATATGGCAAAACAAAAGACCCAGGATAGCCAAAACAACCCTATACAATAAAAGAACTTCAGGCGGCATCACCATTCCTGACTTAAAGCTCTACTACAGAGCTATAGTTCTGAAAACAGCCTGGTATTGGCATAAAAATAGACAGGTAGACCAATGGAATCGAATTGAAAATCCTGATATTAATCCACACACCTATGAACACCTGATTTTTGACAAAACAGCTAAAATTATACAATGGGGCAAGGACAGCATCTTCAACAAATGGTGCTGGCACAATTGGATGAGGGTGTGTAGAAGACTGCAGATAGACCCATGTCTGTCGCCATGCACAAAACTCAAGTCCAAATGGATCAAAGACCTCAACATCAATCCAGCCACATTGAACCTCTTAGAAGAGAAGTAGGAGGTACCCTTGAACAAATTGGTATAGGAGACCGCTTCTGGAACATAACTCCAGGGGCACAGACACTGAAAGAAACAATTAATAAATGGGACCTCTTCAAACTTAGAAGCTTCTGTAAGGCAAAGGACACAGTTGACAAGACCAAATGGCAGCCCACTGACTGGGAAAAGATTTTCACCAATCCTATATCCGACAAAGGGCTGATCTCCAAAATATACAAAGAACTCAAGAAACTAGTCAACAAAACACCAAATAACCCTATGAAAAAAATGGGGTACAGAACTGAAGAAAGAATTCTCAATGGAGGAAATCAAAAAGGCTGAAAGACACTTAAGAAAATGCTCCACATCCTTAGCTATCAGGGAAATGCAAATCAAAACAACTTTGAGATACCATCTTACCCCTGCCAGAATGGCTAAAATTAGAAACACCAGTGATGACTTATGTTGGAGAGGATGTGGAGAAAGTGGAACACTCCTCCACTGCTGGTGGGAGTGCAAACTCATACAGCCATTTTGGAGATCAGTATGGCGGTTCCTCAGGAAAATGGGAATTAGTTTACCACAGGACCCGGTAATCCCCCTGTTAGGCATATACCCAAAGGATTCACATCCATGCAACAAAGACATCTGTTCAACTATGTTCATAGCAGCACTATTTGTAATAGCAAGAACCTGGAAGCAACCTAGATGCCCCTCAATGGTTAATGAAGATGTGGCACATCTACACAATGGAATACTACTCTGCAGAAAAAAATAATGGTATCTTGAAATTTGCAGGCAAGTGGATGGCACTTGAAGAAACCATCCTGAATGAGGCAACCCAGTCACAAAAAGAGGAACACAGTATGTACTCACTCATATATGGATTTTAGAACTAGATCAAATCATCACCAGCCTATAATTCACATCACCAGAGGAACTAAGATACAAGGTGTATTCTAAGAGATTCATATAAAGTCCCTCACAGAACTGGGAAGGGGCAAGTCCCCCAGAGCTCAGGTGAAGTGGGGGAGGACAGCGAATGGAGAGAGAAGTAGGAGAAAATGAGGGGGAGGAAAGGAAAACATGCAACCAGGAATATTGAGCCTGGTTAGGAATAGAAGATAGGAAAGAGAGAGAGAGAGGCAGAGAGAGAGAACATAAAAGAGGGAGCCAATATTGGTTTGAAGATAAAATTGAACACAAAGAAAGGTCGAGAGAACTATAAGACTGCTCCCAACTAACAAGTTGAGCCTACGTGGAAAGGCTATCATAAATGCCCTTCCTGGAGAGTGAGATCAACAACTAACTTCTCCATGGAGCCCTCAACTAATGCCTGTTGAAAACAGGATCAAACATCCATACATAAACACTGAGTCGAACTAGAACCCAGATGTAGATGGAGAGGACAAGACCATGCGGCAGAAACACATAGAGACAGCTTAGCTGAACAAGGAGGAGCTATCGGCCACTAGACTGATAGCTGGGAAGCCAGCCTGGGACTGACTCAGGCCCCCCTGATTATGGGTCTCAGCCAGAAGGACTGAGCAGTCTAAGAGACCTCAGACAGTGGAGCCAGGATGTATCCCTGGTTCACAAAAGAACTTTGCGAATATATCCCCCATGGAGGGATAACTGCCTTAATCTAGAGACAGGAGAGAAGCCCTAGTCCCTACTTCACAGGACCTGTCAGATCTACATGACCCCAACTGGATGGCACTCCCCTACATATGGAATTGGGGTGGGGGGATGGGAGGGGAGGGTGTTTAGAGTGCATGTGAGAGGGCAGAGAGGGTAAAAAGGGAGGGAAGGAGGGAGGGAGGGCTGAGGGGGAGGGAGCGAGGGAGGAAGGGAGGGAGAGGGAACTGGGATCGACATGTAAAATAATATATTAAACTAAAAAAAAAAAAAATGCTTTGACTCCAAAATTTAAGTTGAAGGACAAGTTACTGGGGAAAAGGATTTCTATTTTTGTTTCCACAGAAAATGAAAAGATGTGGATTCCTTCCACACTAATGTGGTTTGATCACGCCAGACTGGGTGAAACAGAGTACAAGCTGATCCTACACTCAAAACAGCTGGACAAAACAGCCCTACAGACTACAGCCAGGACATCTGAATCTTCTTCGAATCCCCCAAGGCAGTGCCTCTTACCAGCAGGAAGTAGTTTGGAAAGAACGACGCCCAAATTCCCAAATATTGTGTATAAATGTTTGTTTTCATTTAATTGGACTGTTATATAAAATTAAATAAAATTAAAAAAAATTAAAAAAAACAATTGAAAAAAATGATGTTGAAATTTGAAAAAATTAAAAAAAATCTGTAAACAGTCAAATCTGAATTTTTTTTTTTTTTTGTAAATACTAGTTGGGAGAAGGAACAAGAACACCCAGAGTTCTAGAAATGATCTCTCCTGAATGGCAGGTATACAAGTGTACAGCTGAGAATACAGGTAAGATATTCATATTTTACTTTTATTAATTTTTGAAAAGTTTACACATGCATGTAAAGTATTTTGGTCAAATTCACACCCATTCCTCTCCCTAACTCCTCCCATGAGCCCCTCCCACCTTGCCTTTTTTTTTTTTTTTTTTTTTTTTGAATTAGCCCACAGATTCCTATTTATGTGCTACTCACTGGGGTATGGTTAACCCACTAGAGCCCACACATTAAACTGACTCCCTCTCCCCTAGAAGGTACTGAAAGGATGAAAATATAGCCTAACTCTCTAATGAGCACTAAAAGTTAGAAATTAAAAAAAAAAAAGTTCACCAGCATGTATTTAAAAATCACCCTAGCTGCATGCAAAGTCCAGGAAAAAGGAAACACACATGAAATAGCTGTGTGGAAGTTATTATTATTTATAACCACCTACTTTCTGAAGAAAGTATCCACAACAACAGTCTGGGAATTGTTATGGGTCATCCTGTCTACAAAGAAAATTAATAACTAAAAGAAACAGGACTCATGGCAAGAAGGGAAAACTAGAAAGAACAAGTGCCTCTGCCAATAGATATAGATAACTCCCTGACTGGAGAATACATTCTCCCAGCCGCTCAAGGATAAGGCCACTGAACCCGCTGGTCTTAGAGAAAGTAAACACCCTAAACTTACAGGTGTGCCATACAAACCTGCCTTGTAAAAACTGTGTACTCTATGAAATCTCTGTAACCTAGGAAACCTTATTAATCTTTCCAAGTTTTGAACTATCCCATGACCTTGCTTTTAGGCTTAATGAAAATAACAGGCTAGCTTTGAAATTGGCCTTGTTAGCTTTGATGCAAATCCTATAAAAGCTATCAAAATTCTGCCCTCGAGGTCCTCAGTCCTCTACCCCTGAGTAGTGTATGACTGTGGACCCCAGTGCACTTTGAATAAAAACTCCTCATGCTATTTGCATCAAGACTGCTTCTCTTGAGTGATTTGGGAGCAAGACCCTTTCCTGAATGGGAGCATGAAGGTCCACACTCTGCAGGTCTTTCAGTATCACCCATCATTAGTTCCTCATAGGCTCACTATCTTGATTTTGTGGGGGCCACCACAGCTGGTGGGAGTTCATGAGTGCAGGAGTTCCTGTGAGGGCCAGAAGACAGTTTCAGTAGGGCCCCCTCCTACTTCTGGCTCTTACAATCCTGAGCTCTCTTCCCTTGTCCTGAGATGGTTTTCTCCCGGTGGTGCGGACCGTGGCTCCCAGCAGGCGTTCTCCACTTAACCTGAGGCGAGACGGTGGGGACCAGTGTGCTGAGTTCTGCGGCCTGAGTAAGAGCCAAGAATACACGACACTGCTCATAGTTTAGCCCAAGAAGATGGACAAGCCGATCACGAGCCGTCAGACCGTCAGACCCGGCATCACATCACAATCCCTGGAGAAATCACGGGATCGCAACGCGCAGGCGCAGCACTGCGCAGGCGCAGGGAGGCCAAGGAAGGCCCTCCCCCCAAGCGCGCTCTGCTCTGCTTGGAGCGCCTGTGCCATGGAACAGAGGTTAGCAGAGTTTCGGGAGGCCCGCAAACGGGCTGGGCTGGTGGCTCAGCCTTTCTCAGTGAGCCAGGGCGAGCAGACCTCAGCAGCGAAAGTGGTCCAAGAAGCGGCGACCCTAAAGACAGCCCAGGCTTGGCTGAGACGCTTCCTGAAGTGGAAAGCAAGTCCTGCTATTACGCGGGGCCATCCCAACCAGGCTCAGGTGAGCACAGAGGCTCTTGAAGCTCTGCCTCCGCGCTGGGCCACGCCCTACTCCGCACAATCCACGCCCACGGTTTCTGGTGCTCAAAGCCCTTCCCTATCCTTTGCGCTCTCTCCTTGCCTGCTCAGTGCCTGAACACTTTTCTTCACAGACACGGTGCTGTGCAACAATTAGAAAGCGAAGGGACCTCGAAGACCGAAGCATCTCCACGCTTGAGTTCACAGCGAGTTAATAGTATAAACAGTTGCAGTCCACTGGTAGTGGAGGGTAAAAGGTCTAATTGGTTATTGATCGAAAGTGGTCGTGATTTATTCACACCTTGGGTAGAGGTAGCCAGTGTCTCAGGTAGTTTGTGCTTTAGAAGTGGGATTTGGAGTCATACCATTCTGAATGAATCTATTTCTGTAGCATCGGCCTAGGGAAAATGGGGTTCAACTACAAAATTTCTCAAAGTGTGGTCACTGTAACTGCCTGTGGTGGTATACATAGGCTTGCATGCCACTTTTGGACTAGAAGAATGTATTCATGTTTAATTGTGAGTGATCAAGGTGTAAAAAGTTGGATTAGTATAATGGCCCACTCGAATTTCTATGTGTCTTCACATAGTTCTCACTCAGAAGTATCCTGGTAGGGAAACTTGCCTGTGAGATGGGAATGTCTGGGTGGGAATATGAAAATCTGTGTCCTAGTTTGGTTCGGTAACCCAAAAACCACTTGGGGAGGAAAGGGCTTATTTTAGCTTACAGGATATAGACTTGCCTGTAGACAATCTTATTTCTCAGTTGAGATTTCTTCCCAGAAGTAGGGTCCAGTTGACAAGAAATGAACTGGCACACCATGCTTTTCTGTAGTGAAGTATCTACCTCTGCCCAAACTTGTACTGGTCACGCCCATTGGGGCGTGGGGACAGGTGCAGGCGTGACCTGGGGGGGGGGGGCTAGGTCTGCGGTCCATGCATTGCTTTTCAGCAATCACAAAGACTTAGCATAAAAAGAACCAAATACATATATAGGGCTGTGTCTGACAGCTTCAAGAAATCAGCAGAAGGAAAGGAAGAATAGACTCAGGTTGGCCTCTAAACTGTGAGAACAGACTTTTAATCTTAAGAAGTTGGTATACCTGAACCCTATCTGAAGGTACAGTGGAACATGCCATAGAGAGCCAAGGAGGAGGAGAGTGTGGCTTTGCCAGACCCAGAAACATAGTTTCTGGATAAACAGCTTTTTGACTTTTGGGAGTTTGTCTGTTTGTACAACCTCTGGGCTCAGGTGGGACCTCCTGGGCCCAGTGTATATTCTGGGGGTGGGCTGCTCTGCTGAATTCTATGAGTGGTAGGTCTTTTGAAGTCTTTGGCCTGTTTTATGTTCCTGATTGTGTGTGTGTGTGTGTGTGTGTGTGTGTGTGTGTGTGTGCATGTGCAGGAGGGTGGGGGTTGGGGGGGTTGGGAGATGGTTCCTTTAACAATGTAGGCCTGTAATCCTAGCTACTTAGTTCAAGGCCTGACTTTGACCCTGTCTCAAAATTTTAAAAAGGTTTAAGGTCTGGAGTTGCAGCTCAGTGGCAGAGTACTTCTTTTATGCTCATGATGTAATAGGTTCCACCTCCAGCACTGCCAAAAAAGATAATGAATACATGGATAAATAAATACAGGAATATAAATCAATGGTAGAACACTTGACCAACATGTTCAGGACCCTAGGATCCATCTTCAGGATCACCCCCTAAAATATGAAATAGTAGAGTAGTGCTACATGCTTGTAATCATAACACTCAGAAGCCTGAGGCAGGAGGATTGTGAAGCAAGACACCATGTCAAAATACAAAGCCCACACTTCACCCCCAATTCACATTTATACCAGAAACAGCTTCTTACTCACATTAAAATTATTTCCTAACTGGGTGGTGGTGGTGGTACACCCCTTTAATCCCAATATTTAGGAAGCAGAGACAGGCATATTTTTCTGAGTTTGAGGCCAACCTGGTCTACAGAGCCAGTTCCAAGACAGCCAAGGCTGTTACACAGAGAAACCCTGTCTGGAACCCCTCAAAAAATTATTTCCTATAGTTTGAACATGAGGGGCATCCCTGCAGGTGTCATGACAGAAAGGAACCTTGGAAAGATGAGAATGAAAACTGTTCAGATTGACTCCATCAACATGGATCAAATGTTGGAAAGTCTGATGAAAAAGGTTCCCAGGCAACCATCATTCAAATTCCACATACACAGTAAAGCTTAAGATGTGACTACTTAGAAATTTGTTTATGAAGTATTTGTTACCATGAAGATGTGTTCTATAGCTTAAGGGCCTAGGACCTAGTGTGGTCTCTGAGATAGCATAGAGGTCATCAGACTCTAGAGTACATGAGATAGGGTCTTTTAACTGGGAGCTAAAGATAATCATTCTGTGGGGCTCTAGATTAGGTCTGTCTCTACAGATAGCAAGATGTCACCAGGTTGTTAACAATATCCACTCCCAGCTTTCTGGATGGATTGCAGATATTTTATTCCTCTGTTGAGAAGTTGCCCCTGCATGTTTAACATTCCTGGTTTACCTAGTGCCCTCAGCAACTGCACAGTATCTAGTTTAAGGAAATTTTGTAGTATATGGCTGCTAAGTTTTGACTCCATATTCTCTCTATAGTATTCGGGGTTCTGACTCAACCATCCATTTCCTTTGGTGCAGTTTGTACAACTCAGTTTTCTGGATAACTGTTGATTAGGTGTCAGTAAACAGGCTTGGGAATACATCTCCCCTTCTCCTACTCCCTTCCCCCGTTCCAATTTAAAGACCACATATAACCCACACAAAGCACTCATGACTGTGTGCCTCATTTCTAAAGGAATATGAAATCACTGAGTTGAGCCTAGAGAAGCTCAACTCAAGAAAAAATTTCCTTTATTAAAAATACAGAAATTGATGAGAGGAAATGCTGGGATAGGACTGGCCTTACGGGATTTCCCCTTGAGGTTCATTTTCACTGACTATTACCCTTCCTGGGTTTGCCCTGGCATTAAAATTCTTATTACAATTTTCTAAGTCTAAATCCAGATTGCAATTTCCCACACCCACATAAAAAGCTGAAATTGCTTTAGAGAGGAAGGCAAGGAAATAGAAATCGATGAGCCAGCAGTTTTTGTAGAGCAAAGTAATGCCCTTTCCAATTGATTTGGATCCTCTGAGCTCCCTTCTCAATGTCCCATTCTTACTTCTGTTTGCTTCTGTGCCCTAGGAAGCAGCCCATCAGCCCCCACAGAGTGCAGTGGTCCGTCTGCATTCATCCCAACGTCAGTCTCTCCTGTCCAACATCACCTTCTTGAAGGTTCTCCTCTGGCTGGTCCTGCTGGGTCTGTTTGTGGAACTGGAATTTGGCCTGCCTTATTTTGTCCTGTCTATGTTCTATTGGATGTATGTGGGGACTCGGGGTCCTGAGGAGAAGAAAGAGGGGGAGAAGAGTGCTTACTCTGTCTTCAACCCAGGTTGTGAAGCTATCCAGGGTACCCTGACTGCAGAGCAGCTAGAGCATGAGTTACAGCTCAGGCCTCCACAGTGGAGGTAGAACCCACCTCAGCTGATCCTTCTAGCCTTGAGCATGGACTCTAGAAGATAAACAACAGTTTACAGGGTGGCCATGTGACTGCCATGGTCTCTGTGTTCTCCCTCATCTGCTGCAGGTTCGTTTTGGACTCCTCTTTGGTTTAGGTGAAGTTTTCTAAAAGACATGCACTGTTGGGACTGCCTGGAGTCCTGGCCTATGTTTCTCTCCCTCACTGAGCTTCTGATAACTAAGTAAGTTCAGAGTTCTCAGGGTTGTTTACCAATCCCATTTCCTGAGTGCTCCTTGCCTTGGTACTGACCTGAGGATCAGGCAATAAGATCTCCCCCCTGCTGGCTCACTTTCTGGTTTGGGTTAGTTATAAAATCTCCTTGGTGCTGTACAATAAAGGCTTCTGATCCTACAACATCTAGAGTGTGTGTTCTTTTAACCCTGACATCCTTCACTTGTTGCCAGGTCCTGGCTGTGCAGTCCCGACAAGTGGAGGTTCCACCGAGATTTGAGAAAGAGGGGTAAGCGGACAGGGTCATCCTGGGCTGGAAGGGACATATTGGGGGAATCAAGATGGAAACTGCTAGCAGTAAAAGGAAATTACAATATCAGGTTAAAAAATTATTTAAAAAAAAGCAAGAAACATCAGTAAAAACAAAGACATTAGAAGCTTTCATTAACACAGTAGAGGAAGCCAGTCCTTGGTTTATTATGGGAGGGTGGATTGAATGTCCCAAATTGGGAACAGATGGGAAGGGACTTAAAAAAAAAAAAAAAAAAAAGGAAGGTCCTAACAGGTTTTTTTCCCATTGCCACCTTTTCTTTATGGCACTTAGTTAAAGATACTTTGTTAACTGGTAAAGTAAAAACAAGACAGGAGGTTGAGGCAGCTAAGGAAGTATTACATAAGATTCAAAAAGAAGAGACCCACTGGTCTTTGTGCTCTTTTGAGAGTCAGGAAGACAGAGAAGGAGCATGTAGCAATGATACTAAGAAAGAAACAATGGAAAACATCCGCTCTGCTCAGCTCAGAAAACTAGGGAGGAGTCTGATGATTCTAAATTCTTAGAGAATAGTGAAGGATCATCAGAAGAAGAGGAGGAAATGCTATGCAGGGAGATACCGGACCTTTGTAGAAAACTCAGAAAAGTAAGACAGAAGAAGACTTGTTCCCACCCCCCAACCCCCCCCCAGGCTTATAATGAGGAAGGGTGGTGGTCACAGTCTAGCAGAGGATTTAACATGGAACAAAATAAAGGAGGCTGTTTTCGTCCCACAGTGGCGCCAGTTATGGAGGTGACAGATCCCCAAAACCCTGGGCAAATAATTCGCCAACATTTTACATTACAATTTGAAAAAATTAAAGAAAGCTATTGCTACATGTGGGGCTCAAGCACCCTTTACCTTGGCCATGGTAGAGTCTTTCTCTGCTCTGAATCTTATACCAAGTGACTGGCAACAATCATGCTGTGCTGTTTTATCTGGGGGAGATTACCTCCTATACCAAGAAAATTGTTTGCAAACTGCCTGATTAAATGCTCAAGCAGGTCACGCTCAACATAATTTGGAGATGTTGAATGGAGCAGGGGTTTATGCTGATATACAGCAACAAATTTTATATGATCCAGCAGTATTTGCCCAAATAGCTGCTGCTGCCACCAAAGCTTAGAAGGCCTTACCTAATAAGGTTGTAGGGGATCAATTATCAAAAGTCCTACAAAGGCCATCTGAACCATTTCAAGATTATGTGGATAGATTGTTACAATTAGCAGACAAATTGTTTGGTGATGTTACCACAGCCATGCCTATAGTAAAGCAACTTGCATTTGAAAATGCCAATAAAGTTTAAATTTATCAGGATATATAGAGATATAGATGGGTATTTCATTCAAGGTCACGTTATAGCAGCAGCTATCCAACCGTGTAGGGATATCTGGAGATCTAACAGGAGAGTTAGAAGCCATAATTGCTTCAACTGTAGAGCCCCAGGCCACATCATAACGGAATGCCCCAGCTGATGGGAGAAGGGAGAAAACTTGGTATGTGACCTAGATGTAGGAAGAGCCCATCGGGCTAATGACTGCCACTCTAAGATAGACATAGATGGAAAGCCTTTACCACCTACCATAAACCAACAACAAAAAAGCTGGCGGTGGGCCCTGTTCCAGGGCCCCAAAATCTCAGTGTATAAAACAATGACTGTGGGACCACAGAGACAATAATATCCCACCATCCAGTTCCTGCCACAGAGCAATCCTTTCTCATTACAGACCTCATCAGTGCTATTCCAGGGAGTGCAAGATTGGAGCTTTGTACCTCAGCCTGAGCTGTCAAATGGGGGTACAGGCACTTCCTACAAATGTATATGGCTCTTTACCATTGGGGTCCATGAGATTGATTTTAGGAAAAAGTAGTACCATCCTAAATGGAATCCAGATACACCCAAAAATGACAGATTCTGACTATCAGAGAAAAATTAAGATTACTTCTGTCTGACAGGGGGTTGTAGCTATTCCCCAAGAAAAACACATTGCTCAATTAGTGCAAATTCCCTATTTAAATTCTAAAAATGCAATTGGCAGACAGAGCTGTGGTGACCTAGAATTTGGATCCTCAGGACCAGCCACCTTTTTGAGTTGCTCAATTGAATGAACACCTCAACTCCAAAATAAAAAAAAAATATATATATGGTATGTTAGATTCTGGAGTGGATATATCTATATTATCTATAATATTTTGGCCTAAGGCTTGGCCCCTAGATGATGACAGTGCAACACAATTACAAGGAATAGGTCAAACCACTCCCCCCAAAAGTTAAAAAAATAATAAAATGACATGATAAAGAAAAACGTAAAAGATTTTTTCAACCATATGTTCTTTCTAGATTACCAGTCAACTTATGGGGGTGTGATTTATTAATAGAGTTAGGGGCTGTCTTAACACAACATATAAAAATGTCCCCGAGGGAAGCTACTGTTATGATAAAAGCTATGGAATGGCGACGTGGACAAGGCCTAGATGCCTTAAATCAAGGCCAAACATTACCCAAAACACCTGATGACCAGGTCACTCACCTTCCTGGGGATTGTGCCGGGTTGGGGTATTTTTAGTACGGGTCATTGTTCCATCGCCTGCGCCCATACCTATTACATGGTTATCAGATGACCCTGTGTGGGTAGAACGGTGACCCCTGACTTAAAAAAAAATTACAGGTGGCCCACGCTCTAGTACAAGAGCAATTGCTTGCTGGACATATAGTACTATCTACATCCCCCTGGAATACACCTATTTTTGTTATTTAAAAAAAAAAATGTTTGACAAGTAGCAGTTGCTCCAAGATCTCTGCACAATAAATAAAACTATACAAATTATGGAACCACTACAGCAAGGGCTCCCTTCCTCAGTAGCTATTCCTAATGATTGGCATCTTATTGTAGTTGATTTAAAAGATTTTTTTTTTTTTTACAATCCCTTTGCACCCTGATAATTGTCCATAATTTGCTTTAGTTTGCTCTCCATTAATTTTAAGGAGCCTGCTTTATGCTTCCATTGGGTTGTATTACCCCACGGTATGGCAAATGGTCCCACTATATGGCTCCCCAAGGGGGAATGCTGTGGTAAATTCTCAAGGTTTTATATCCCAAACACCTGTTGACAATGTTTTTGCTCAAGCAGGTAAAATTACAGCCTATATTTTGACATTAAAACCTTTCCTGATGAACTATTAATTTGTATACTGATAGTGTATATTTGTCTCAAATTGTTGCTCCATTGAAGACTGCTCCTTATATCTCCCCTGTGCCCCACATACAACAACAATTATGCTGTTTACAACATTTATTGTGGTCCAGACAAGACCTTCTTTTTGTAAGTCATATTTGAGGTCATACTCACTTACCTGGACCCTTGGCTGAGGGAAATCAACTTACTGATAAACATACCCAAATATTATATGCCAATCCCAAAGAAAAGGCCATTCAACTTCATAAAACAATATCACTTAATGCTGGTTCTTTGCAACACCACACTGGCTGTTCTAAGGCTGCTGCTTTGCAGATTACCACTCAGTGTTCTGCTTGTGCTCCCTTTAATAATACACCTGCTATAGGAGTTACCCCTATGGCCTTAAACCCAGTGATATTTGGCAAATGGATGTTACCCACCTGCCTTCAGCTGGCAAATTAAAATATATACATGTCTCAGTGAACCCTTGCTCTAAAATGGTTTTTGCTTAATTACATAGTAAAAAAAAAATTAAGGATATAATTGCTTACTGGCTTTTGCCTATACGAGTATTCCCGATGTTCCTAAAACTGATAATGGACCTACATATACTAGCAAAACAGGCATCTCATATAATCCCACTGGACAAACAATAGTTTAAAAAAATTACATACGGTCCTCCAACAATAATATAAATAAAAGTTTTCCTTTTTACAGCATTGTGTGACACTTAGTAATGCCTCCATAGCTCATTTCACTCCAAATGCTACTTATAACAAGATGATAGGATTAAAAAATATTTGGTATCCCATAAATAGAAAAACCTTAAAAAGTAACACAATTTATAATCATGGGCTTACTCTAGCTTCCCGTTGTTGGCCTGCAGCAACCAACTTTAATTTACAGAAAACCTTACTTTGGGGTGAATGTGTTACTCAAGGTCCAGAGTTATTAAAAGGTAACAAAAAAATCTATGATGGTACGGCCACAGGCCTGCTGCAAAAAATGCTACTGACCCTGGGTATAAATATTAGTTTAGGAGCCCTAGCCAGGCAGGGGTTGTACCAACCTTTTCTGGGATGTACCTCTGTGGACCTCAAGTTTGTACGGATACAGTCTAGATCATGTTACAACAAAGACTTGCCTTTAACAGCACTGCCACTTATAATCAAACAGATCTCTTTGAGACATCCGTTAAAGTTAATTATAAAGCAAGACAAAATTTTACTATTCAAGCTCAAGCTTACATATTAGCTCCTTTCCTTTCTATACTCTGGAATAGTACCTTTGGGGAGGAGGATGTTCTTAATTGTTCTTCCAGAAATTACAGCCTGAGTAACTGCTGAGATGAAGGTTCCTCAGCCTCCCTGCTAGTTCAAATGCCAGTGATCATCCCTCTGCCAATGCGTAAGAAGGCCATCCAGACAAAAGTGACTCTATACCGAGAAAAGCACAATTTTAAAATAATGGGTGCTGTAGTGGCCATTGTTACAGTATCTGCTACCACTGCTAAGG